TTCTTTTTTTCTTTATTTCTTTCTTCCTTTCTTTCTCTTTCTCTTTCTCTCTCTGTGTGAGTCTGTGTGTATGTGTGTGTCAGTGGTGGGTTTCAAATTTTTTTGGAACCTCTTCTGTAGGTGTGGCCTGCTTTCCGGGTCCACTGGTGGAACCTCTTCTAACCGGTTTGGTAGATTTGACAAACCGGTTCTACCGAACTGGTGCGAACTGGCAGGAACCCACCTCTGATCATGCCTCTCAAATGTAGAGACCAAGGAAGATGACATTGATAGAAATATGTAAGCTTTGTTGCCAAGGTTATAAGTAGTAAACATGGTTTAAGTCCAGAACATCGAGTTAACATTTTGAAGTGGTTCAGTCAGATATCTCCCAAAGTCGCAGAACTAAAAGGAGAAGTAAGTCCTTGTTTTGCGACCATTTGTTTAATAGCCATTCAAAGTTATAACAGTACTGAAAAAAGTGGCTTATAACCAGTCCTCACACATAAGACTGTTGTAGCATCCCCATGGCCATGTGAGCAAAATAGGTGCTTGGCAACTCACATGTATTTACAAACGGTTGCAGCAGCCCCAGGTCAAGGAATTGCCATCAAAAACTTTTCCAGGGGCTTCCAACAAAGTCAGTGGGGGAAACTGGATTCGCTTAATCGCCATGTGATTCATTTAACAACCGTGGCAAAAAAAAAAAGATTGTAAAAATCAGCGTGACTTGCTTAGCGACAAGATTGCAATATTTAGTGATGGAGATTCGGTCCCAATTGGGACTGTGAGTGGGAAACTACCTTTACAACACAATAAGACTTGCAAGTTTTATTATTATATTTAGTTTCACAGCCTTCTGTGGGGTTGATTTTTTTAGATTGGACTATAGTGGGACTAAAAGAACCAGTATCTTGTTCAGGGTGCAACTGATCCTCTTTCTCCCCGGACCCCGCCATCATCCTGCCAGGAGTTTAGAACAACCATTGCATTCTCCATTCAACCTGCTGTAGAGATTCCCAATTGAGTAATATCACCTCACTGATACTTCCAACTGGCAGTTTACTTCTTTCAGGGACATCACAAAGATTTTTAATAGGACACAGAAAATACTAAAACAGCTTCTACTGGTGTGCTCTAAAACCCAGCCTTTCTTCACCCACCTCAGTTACAACCACTCCAGAGGTGGGTTCCTACCAGTTTGCACCTATTCGGTAGAACCGGTTCGTCAAATCTACCGAACCGGTTAGAAGAGGTTCCACCAGTGGACCC